AATTTGCACTAGGCAGCCAAATCACCTGAACTTTGTGAGCAGCTTTAGGAGCACACATGGACCATCCCTAACTGGCAAGAAACTTCTGCTGTGTGCTTGTATATGCCAGCGTACACCGCTTTCCCATCTGCCCCAAGAAAAGAACTAGTGGTTAGGCTCTGTACAAGTTAATTTTTAGCCACATCTCTGCATTATAATGCAATGATATTGCTTTTTTAGGAGAATGCTACAGAATTAATTTGTATACTAGTTTTTATGTAGTTTTTCATAAATTTCAGCACCTTCCATTACATTATCCCCAAGTCACATCTTATGGCTCCACGAAAGCTTGAAAAGCTTTAAATGTCTATGTTCTTTTGTTTCTTTCTCAAATAATTTATTCTTATATGATATCCCACTTTTCTTTCATGGTATTGTGGCATTTCCATAGAGAGTGTAAATATTTACACATTATGATTATGTTGTATCTTCTGTTCTTTACACAAACATAATATGAAGGAACCACATGGACACAGTGGGGTGCAAAAAATGTTTACTGACTGCATATAAGAGGGGTGGCCAAACTGTGGCTCTGGAGCCACATGCGTCTCTTCAGAAGTTAATATGCGCCTCCTTGTATAGGCACTGACTCTGGGGCTGGAGCTACAGGCGCCAGCTTTCCAATGTGCTGGGGAGTGCTCACTGCTCAACCCCTGACTCTGCCACAGGCCCTGCCCCCACTCCACCCCTTCCCGTCCCCTCCCCTGAGCCTGTCGTGCCCTCACTCCTTCCCTTTTCCCCCCCAGAGCCTCCCGCACGCCACGAAACAGCTGATTGGGAGGTGCGGGGAGGGAGAGGAGGCGCTGATCAGCGGGGCTGCCGGTGGGTGTGAGGCACTGGGAGCGGGGGTGGGGAGCAGATGGGGGGCTGCTGGCTTATTACTGTGGTTCTTTGGCAATGTACTTTGGTAAATTCTGGCTCCTTCTCAGGCTCAGGTTGGCCACTCCTGGCATATAACATATGAGTCCTAGCTACAGATAGACATTGCTGCTCTGGCAGGGTTCTGGTGGCTTCGGCAACACACACAGTTGGGTTTGCAAGGCTTACGCTCTGGTGCTAAAAATAGCCACGTGGATGTTCCTGCTTGGGCTGGAGCTCCAGGTCTCAAACCTGAGGAGGAGGGTGGGTCTCAGGGTATCCCACAGGAGCCTAATCTAATCCCTGTGGTTTTCTCCAGCCTGCCTTCACCTGCCCCTTCTCAGAGAGTGGGAACTTGCCTTGCTCCGCTCTCTTGGGTCTCCTCTCTCACTGAGTTCTCTTCCCTCTCTGTGTAGTTCTCCTGGACTCTTTCCCAGCTGTGATCACTAATTGTAACTGAGTCACCAAATCAGAATTACCTGGGGGTTGAATGCTAGATCACAGGCCAAGTTGAGCCTGATTCCCCTTAAAGGGCCAGGCAGTCTGTGACAATGGACCACCTGGCTGATCCAGTAGGGCAATTCCAATGCTTCTGTGAGGTTTTGGAAACCCCTTAGAAACAGTCATGCTTTAGGAGAAATGGTAAACTGATCTTTATATATTGTGAATATGTAAGAAAACAATAAAGCCAAACCCCAAGAAGGGGTAAATGTGGACTATATCTAATGTGCATAACTTCAGTTGAGGGGTGGAGAGGAACACTTCCTTTTATTTATGGCCTGGTTTTAAGATTTTTTTCTTTTCCTTTTATTATTCATTGAAATAAGATATTTAAACTATTTAAATATTTTCTTCAGTAGTCTCTACAGATCTTTTTCCCATATGTAATACATCAGTTTTGTTTGTCATTTTTTCTTATAAATGAAAAATGTCTTTAGTTAAGATGGTATATAACAGATACAGTAATATCTTTGAAAATTAAAAAAATTAAAGCTGCTAATGAGTCACTAGTGCAGTAAAATGCAACTAATTTCTTGCTGTGTTTAAATAGTGTCAATTCTGGCAGTGAATTTGAAAAACAGAAATTAGAGCAATTACACAAGGATATTAAACAACTGAAATATTTTAGCATTGAGGCTCTGGTGGCAATTCCATTGCGCACATGATAGTTGTGACTCCATCATTAAAACTCAGTTCTGGATTGCACAGAACACAAGGATTCAACCTCTTTGTTTTCTGTGAAAAAAATTTACAGCACTTCGTGAGTACAGAATCTATTTTCTGAGTTTTACAAATAAATCCATTCATTAGTTTACAGTTAAATTAATTAAAAACTATGCTCTTCAACAAATGTAGTATTCATTAATTCATCTTCACTGATTTTAAGGCTAGATTATGATGATCTAGTCTGACCTCCTGCACAACACAGGGCACAGAATATTTACTCAATGATTCCTGCATCAAGCCTATAAATTAAGCCCACGGTTTTAACTTTACAGGTCAGTGATACCACCAGGGGAAAAATATGAAAAAAACTGAAAGTGTCTTAAAACAGTTTAATCTAATCTGGGACCATGGACACTAAAATGCCTTAATTATAATCAGATGATTATTACATGGTGTCACTGTCACTACTGGCCAGAATAAAGATGGTCTGTAAGGCTGGACAAAGGATGGAAATTCCATTTCACAAAAGATTTTGGGTTCATTTTGAATTGGAAAAAAAACCTGAATACTTTGAAGTTCTCTGCAATGGAAAATGTTGAAAACAATTGTTTCGCGATCTACTGAAACATTGTGTTTCGATTTGAAATGTTTCACTATTGATTTTTATTTTGCTTTGGAATATACAATATAAAATAAAAAAATCAAATTGAAAAGTTGTTTCAAAGCCAAAAAATCAAACTATTTTATTCCAGAAAGGTCAAAATAGGATGTTTTGACATTACTGGAACTTTTTTTCCCTTTGAAACAAAATTTCAGTGAAATCAACTTGATTAGTGAAGTATTTCAATTTCAGTCTCCATGTATTTCCAGCTAGCAATAGTTGTCTGGATGCCTTAACTGTGCATTTTTTAACTTAACATGTTCACATTCATTTTTAATGTAACCTTAATTCTGAATTTTCTGGGTTTATAATGCTTGGTTTGGGGATAATTACACCACCGCCATCATATTTTTTAAGGTTACATACTCTTTAAGGTTACATACATTAAGGTTATATACTCTTATCCATAACTCCATTTTAACATAGTTTTTGTCTTGAAATTTTAAACTAAAGAGACTGATTCCACCTCGCTTAACAGAGCTCCTGGTTTAAGGATATTAAGTTGCCAGCATTACATCATCAGAACAAACTCAATAGATGATCAGTGCACTTTAGGGCAGGACTTGTTATCCAGAAACTTCTAAGAGCTGATAAGCCCTTCTGTGAATATTACCTTCCTAATACTCTGCAAATGTTCACTAACCAAAGAACAATGAAAAATAAAATCACATAATATTTCATTTCTTCTATAGATTTATCTGGAAGCATTTTAATTCAAACATTAGATGTAATATTCTCAGGCACTGGGCTGAGTACAATCTTATGGTTTTGTTCAGTGACAATGATTTTGTGTAATTTAAGTATCATTTGTGTTATTTTTTGAAAGAATTTCCTTTATCTTTTCTTGTAAGTATGTTCCTCTTATCTCCTGCCCTATCTTATTTGGGGAGTACAGCTTATTCCCGAAGAAAGGACGTTTTCTGAAGTTTGCTTGGGTGCCTCTGTTTCTACAGGAAAACTGGAAAGAGCATCTCCCCTCCCATGCTCTAAAGAAGACTAATATTGACTGTCATAAAGATATCTGACCAATATAAAATACCATCAAAGCAATATATCAGCTGCAAAAGAAAGTACCTCAGTTTTGTTCCTTGTATTTTAAATAACGGTTTATAGTCAGTTTTTAAAATAATATCTCTACTGTATAGGTCATGACAAGATATAATCAAAATGTCGCACTGTAATCGTAGTTGCCATAAGTTCTTATGTTCCATAATGTAAGTACATATGTTCTTACATTATGGAACTCATTCTACCTGGGGCTGACAAGGTAACTTACTTGGAAACTCCATCATTTGCAGTATGGGGTAGACCTCCTTCTTGGCAATACTGACCAATAACCTTCATTGGTTCCCTGTTTAATTGTAGACTCAAGCCTTGTCTATACATGAACTTGCATCAGTTTCATTAAATTAGATTAGTTAATTGGATACAAACCCCTGTGTGGATGATTTTATTTTGATTTCAGAGTGGCTAACTTTGGCTTAACTAAAACCAGTTCCTACCTGACTATAAGTAAACCAAAATGAGTGTCCACATGGCCTTTTGCACTGGTTTAACTAGATCAATTTAAAATCACACCTTAGTTAACTTGTGAAACTCTGCATAAAGACAAGTCCTCAGTTTAAAATCCTGGTCCTACTCCACAGTAGACTAGATATCTTAGAGATCATCTTTCCACTGAAATCAATGGACTATCACTTCTGTAAAGTTAAACATGTGTGACAGTATTTGCAGGATTGGTGCCTACGATAGTTTACAGCCTAGGTTGAAAACAGTTCTAGAATACTTGCATAAAATGAACTTCTTTTAGGTCTAGAGAAGACTGGAAGAAAGTTTTGTAGTAAGCTACCATCAGGAAATGTATAGTAATGTTTAATTGACAAAGAAAACATGTATGCTCAGAAAATCATAATAGACCACAGTTCTGATTAGGTGCTACTCTACACAGGCAGCTTTCAATAATTAACAAATACATAATTTCAAAATTTAGAAGTGCAGTTACACTTAAGACCGGAACCATGGACCAAACCCTGAGAAGTTCTGAGCACCCACAAGTTCCACTGGCTTCAATGGCAGATGCAGGTGCTCTGGACTACTCAGAATTTGGATCCAGATTTCTGAAAATCCTGGCAAAAGAAGTAAAAGCATCAATGTTAAAATGTACAGAATATTTCACAGAGAACATACATATAACGTGCTAAAAATTATCCCTTTTGCACAAAACATAAAGCTGTTTGCAAGAGCTTCTTAAGTTAGAGAATTTGAAGTTACTTACTGTGCAAAGTGTCTCAAATGTCTTTTCAGAGACAAAGGATCCATCAAGGCCAAAAAGAAAAATAGATGCATAGGAAAGCATCCCCCCAAGGATAATAAGGTTGTTCATGTAGGGACTGGACATCTTTATTAGCCTACAGACAGACGCAGACGGTGCATTAAATAGAAAAAGACAACAGTTAGATGACTCAAACCATAATGAACAGTTTCCTATCAAATTAATTAAACAGATGGCCGACCCTACTTGTGGAATTCTACTAGAAATCTAGAAATATGCAAATCAATTTGTGCTTTCCAAAAAAGGTTGGATAAGCATATTAATTGTTAAGGGTTTTGATCTTCTCTGCTAAAGCTACTCCCTACTTTACACATTGGTTAATTAGCTAGGGTTTATGCTAATAACACACAGTGGAAAAGATTAATTTTTCAAACAGAATAAAAGGATTTGATCTAATGGATAGTTAATATCTTTCAACACAAAGCTGTTATATAGTAACTTCAATTAAAGCAAATAACATTTTTAAAATATTGTCTTCCCAATGTGACGTTCTCTTCATATAATTTTAGTGTCCACAAATGTAGTACTTAAATATGAAAAATGAAAAAGATAATGTACATTTCTTACTTCTGATTTCTGTTTTTGATGTTAAAGAACAAAAAAGCACTGGCCATGATCATTCCTAGGATAGTGAGTGCTGAAAGAATACTATAGAGAGGCAAGGAGATCTTACGCAGCTGTTCTTGTATAATTGTTTTGTCCTTTGGAGGCTCCAATCCTAAAATTTCAAGAAGAAAAAAGCAAAAGCCCAGATTGAATTCTTGTCAAAAAATATATCCCTTCCATTACCCCCAAAAGATCTAAAGACAGTGGGCCATATTCATCCCTGAGGTAAAGCCATTTACTTCAACGGAGATATACCAAATAGTCAAGAAAGGTTTGGACTTCTGATGATATAATACCCTGTGGGAAGGAGAAAGTCCCAATTCAGGAAAGCTTTAAGCATGTGCTTAATTCCATCCTTATTCAGGAAAACAATAAGCACTGCAACACACATGCTTAAATGCTTTTCTGAATTGGAGATGACACAAGTAGTCACAGACTAAGAATATTCTTTCCTAGTCTACTTTTATTTACAGCTAGTCAAACCCTAAAATCCTTATTAGGGTTCCAGTAAGTCCTTATTCACTGAAATCACTAGCAATTTGCCCAAGTTAAAACCGAGTGAGTACTTCAAAATTTAGCCCAATATTTTGTCATCAAGCAAGGATTGACCAAAAAGCAAAAACAGCAGCAAGCCGTTACAGCTCGCTTGTGCTACCATATATATGGGAAAGAATATGGCCTTGTGTGTGTTAACTCTACCTCAAACACATTTAAATCCATGTTTTAGAACATATGATTGGGTTGTCAGTCAAAGTCATTACACCCAACCCCAGCCAGTACCCATGCCATTTGGGGGCTACCTGGCTTAACAAAAAGAGTAATTTTGAGACAGTGTAACAGTTCTCTATATTTCCACTTCATCTGATATTCACCTGTGTGCAGAGGGATTGTGAAAGGCCCTCTATATTACTTAAGCCACACAGAAGGGGTTCAGTGCCTGATTGTCTCTTCACAATGGAAAAGGTATCCATGTCAATTCCATATAGGGCAGTGTGAAAGGCTGACTTGACTTTGCCTCCTGACTCAAACCCTGAAACCTAATTTGGACTCTGACCCTTGGTATCAACCCTGGCCTGGACATGACTTAATTCCTCAGCTACTCCTAGCCTCAGGTTTGCCCTTGCTCTGTCCTTGTGGGGATCGTGATAGTAAGTTTCATTCTTGGATATGTTCCTGATACCTGGAGGTGAACTGGTAACAGGGTGGCCTGGTTCCAAAATGCATCTTTGGTCACTAAAAAATTCTTCCTGCAAAAATGAAAAAGGTCGATCCCCACCAAATATTGATGCCTGGCTCAGTGATGTGGCTGACCTTGCAGCTAATGGATGACTGGCATTCCACAGAAGGGGAATGCCCAAAAAATTCAAAGCAATTTGGGCTGAATTTTTAAAGCTCAGTGATTAATGCAGCCCCTGGAGATAGATATGTTGCTTCACTTCCTTCCCTTTGTCCTAGTCTTTTCTTTCTTACTTTGTGTATTATGAAGTCCTCCCATAGGCCTTCATCTTTTAAAATAGTCTCAGTGATTGAAACAGGTCCATGCAACGTGCAGAAAACTCTTAATCTGGTTTAGCCACAACTGAGTTTGTCAACTTTTGTGAAATGTGGTTGTCTTCATTTAGTAAATAGGGTTAGAGATGGATTATCACACTATTCTACCATAACCACACTTCTAACTGCTGACTAAAAAAAGAAGGGCATAAGGGGGGAGAGGTTTGAAAAAAAACAACAACGGAAAAAACAAAGTTGGCACATCCCATCGTTTCTTACAGGATAAACCCTCATTACTTTCCAAACCATTCCAAGACAGTTAAAAAACAAGCAAGAAGCATACAGATATATTTCTATGATTTCATAAGAAAATTAACTTGGAAAAATATTTTAAAACACTTCCTATGTTTTTCCTCCCCGAATCTGGCTTGAATACATTTCCCAATGGGTCATCAGTATTGAGCTGATCAAGTGGTGTAGATATTATATAAGAGCTTTTATAGAAGCAGTTGGTTGGTCTTGTATCCTATGATGATATGCCTTACCCGTCAGGGAATGGATTCTGGGAGCACTCCCTCAGAAGGGTCATCCTTGCACCAGTGATGAGCCTGGCTCAGGAGCTGAAGGGGGCAGCCTGTGTCTCCCTTTTCCTAGGGCTTCCAGGATCCTACCTCAACTCAGGTGAGAACAGCCCCGAAGGCTACCCTAACTTGTGACCTATGTGAAATGGCTCCAATAGGCTGGTGCACCATGGTAGAATACCTGGGGCACAGTAATAATCAGTTCATGCTCTATCTCTTGCCAACTCACCCCAGAACACACCTGTGCGGGCAGCTGCTACAAAGGTCTATGCCTGTTCTGCATTACCTCCTGAGCCTCTATACTGAGGATATGCCCTGGAGGGGCCTTCTGACTACTTTGCAGCCATTTTACACTAGCTGTGCTGGAGCAACACACCTGAGAATTCCCCCCTCAGACTGCAAATCTTTTGCAGAACTTTAATTCAGGAGTTATATATTTACTCGAAGGGCGATGTTCTTCACGAAACTAAGCAGGCAATAAGACAAAAATACAGTAAAGGACATATCTGAATGAGAGATGCTTACATTAAAGGACACCATTCTCAAAAACTACAGTAACTAAATGACTGCACAGAACATATTGGTTATTTGTATCAGTATTAAACTGAAACAACGAATGGTCTTATAAGATTTATTTTTCACATTTGCAGAATGGAAGTACAATTTAATAGCTGTTAACTTTATGACTGATTATACTGTTATACTGTATGTATTCTATACAAAAGGCTTTGAGCCAGATCCTGTGCTCCTGATTTTCTGAGACAGGAAGTAACACCAGCTTCCCAAAAGCCATAAAGGGCCATTCCAGTAGCCAGGGATTGCATGGGTATAGGGACACCTTGGCCACACAGCTTCAGCTGGGGTGCTGGGAGAAGAAGGGTGTGGCAGTTCTGTATCACCCAAGCAATCCCTCATGCTGGGGGAATCTTTAATGGATCCTTTAAAACAAGTTTAATGCTGCTTTGTGCTGCCAGACCAGTATAAAGAAACCTTAGCAGGGCCCGAGATCTGGCCCTTTATCTGTGCCTAGTTATACATGCACACAACTATTATCTGTGAAAAAAAGAGACCCCTTATTCATTTCTGTAAGTTTACTGAAGACAATAAAATGACAACTGGCATCTTCATGTAGTTACAAAGACCAAGAGAAATGTAACCTCCTCTTTATATATTCACATATCATGTTAGTGAGACTGATTGGTGGAGATGACATAGGAATGAAATTAAAGCATTTTGGATTTGTGAACGTGGAAGAGAAAACATATTCTGAAACCCATTGAAATAATGAAGAATATCCATTTTCACAGATCATTTATGATTAGCACAAGATGTCGAAATGAGAAATACTAACACAATCTAATCATTCAAAATGTTGCTACTTTCTTTTCAGAACTCTCCTTTTGTAGCTTCTAAGAGCCTGCATGACACAATAAAATATCAAGCATGAGACACTCGCCCTAATCCCCTCAGCATATGATTTTATAACCTTCTTTTTCAGTAACAGAGTAATAAAACGTGTCTGTATAAAGCATGAAGTCTGAACTATATAGCAATACATATAACTGCTGTGCATCTTTTCCATTTCCTGTCCTACCTTGGAACCTGATGGTGTTGTTGATTATTTCCAGTGTATCAGCTACAGCATTATACTCTCCCACCTTCACTTCCTTTCTATCTGCAGAGAAACAAACAAGTAGGATTGTTTATGTCAGTTCACATCTTCTCAATAATGTAACTGTTTCCCTTTCTTGTTGTTGCTATATTTATATTTAAGATACCACAGAAAATGGCTCAAAGACAAGAAATACACATAAGGAGTATGAATTATTAACGCAGAGTGGCAGATTTGATATCTATTAATATAAAAAGAAGCATTTTTGAACTTTTAGAGAAATACAAAGTTATATTGGACAATGTATCTATTAAGTCATAATTCAATACTAATTTGCATAAATAGCAAACTATTCTACTTTAGAATGAACATCTTTTCTAATCCCAAATTGGTAACATTAAATACTGGTTTGGGGTCAAATTACCACCTTTACTTATGCTGAATAGTACCCTTCTGCTCAAGTAGTCCATTTAAACAAATAGGATTGCTTGCTGAATGAAGTATTTCTCAGCGGGAGTAAGGATGGCAGATTCAGACCTTTGATGAGCAGCTTAGTTAAAAGAGCAACTGGGAATCTGACATCTGAATCTTATTGTGAATTAACAACTCATCAATACTCTGATTGGAAAACATAATCCATGTATTTATTGCCAAATTCTATAGGAGCTAGAATACTTGGGTCCCACCTTTCGATGTGTACCCTGGGTTTACAGTTACATACACAGCCCTATTGTTTCTCACATAAATAATTTGATGCAGTACCTTAATATCTCTGGCTATCTATTCTTCATATCATCCCTATTGCCACAGTATTTTGAACTTGTACCTTATATGGTGTGTGTTTGTTTCAGTCTACTGTTCATGTTTGACAGGAATTTTCTATTTGATATAAGCTTTCTTGGTATTAATAAACTTGTGCACCTCTCCACTTAAACTTACCATTTTACTCTCTTCTTTTTACTTTTTGATCATAGGCATTCAAACCATCAGTATCTGAAATACAGCATTCTCAAATAGCCTTGAGGCAGAGTCTATGGTTTTAAAATTTCTTACTTTTCCCTACAACTTGCGGTTATCCATTTTCCTATTTTTTTAATGTTAGACCTTATCGTATAGTGGTCAGCATCACTTAGTTGAGATTCTAGGCTTACTGTCTTTATTAACTCCTGCATCTGACTTAAGACTCAATCAAAAACTAACAGGATTCAAAGGTTTTCTCTTTATAGCAGGAAATGAATGACAAAATTAACAGCATCAACGCAAGCTAGTTTCACTAGTAGGGTGGTGAAGCACTGGAATGGGTTCCCTAGGGAGGTGGTGGAATCTCCATCCTTAGAGATTTTTAAGGCCCAGCTTGACAAAGCCCTGGCTGGGATGATTTAGTTGGTGTTGGTCCTGCTTTGAGCAGGGGATTGGACTAGATGACCTCCTGAGGTCTCTTCCAACCCTAAGATTCTATGATTCTAAGCTGCACATCATAGAATAGCAAGATTGATCTATTAACATCAAAGGTGCCAAAGGTGGCACAGAAACTAGGAGAATTTGGTGGGTTGTTTCTACATTTTCCTACAGTCTGTAAGAACACAAACAAAAATTATCCATGGTAAAAAAACTTACCTTGGCAACACTACTAAGAAAACAAATAAAACTACTAGAAACTAAAAGAAAACAATTAGCTGTACCACAAAAATTGTACTCTGCACTGTTTTGAGCACTTGATCCCTGAGTTACTCAAACTAAATACTCATGTTGATCCTATACATGATTGACCAGGGTTGCCCTTCTTCTCATGTCCTTGCACCAGAATCATAGTTTTTTCCCCATGTTGGGTACATGATATGTCCTGGTCTGGTGCCCTGGCAAGATTTTCCATGGTACACAGCTCCTTCAGGAACTGGCAGACCAACAGACATTCCATAGTTTGCGTTTCACCGCAGTCACATGTATCTTGGTCACTGGAATAGCAACACTTCTGCATATTGACTTTTAACCTGCCAACTCTTGTGTGAAGGCAATTTAAACATCTTCAGGTCGAACAATCCTCCTTTGTGCCTGCTGTAAAGTGTTCGGCAATGTCAATGTGCAATTTGATGTCCTCATCAAGTATTTCAAGCCGTGTGCACCACATTTCCAGTCGTGTAGCCATAGGCGATTTTTTACATGGTTTCGTTGCATCGCTTTTCTGTGATTTCAGGTGACTAATTGCTGTGGCGTGGCAATGTAACAGCTGTCTGGACTCTTCGACCTGTTGTAATCATTCTATTTATGATACAATACTCCCTGAGCATGGTATTGCCTGGTGCTCCACACAGGGTGGTTATTGTAAGAATATATTATCTCACTCAAGTCCATCAAGGCCACTGTAGCCTGGAGTGGGAAAGTGGCATCTTTCCTCTGTAATTATTTAAGAGACACATTTTTCCTGGTAGCCAGTCCATTATCCTTATATTTACATTAAAAATAAATCATCCACCCTTCAGCCTTCTATGGAAGAAATGGCACAGGTACAGATGTTGGAAAAGGATTTCTTCTTACATTGAAGCTGTGGATAGGAATGTTTGAAAGAGCTGTGATCATATAGAGCCATAGCTAGTTGTTTTTATTGTATTCATAGAGAGCAATCATATCCTTCTCAACCTTTGTTTTTGTAGGCTAAACAAGCCAAGCTCTTCCAGTCTCCTCTCATAAGATAGGTCCTCTATACCCCTGATCATCCTAGTAGCTCTTCTCTGCACCTGTTCCAACTTAAATTAATATCCTTCTTGAACATGGGTGACCAGAATTGTTCACGGTATTTCAAATAAGGTCTTACCATTGCCTTGTACAATAGCATTAATACTTCTCTCTCTCTACTGGAAATGTCTTGCCTAATACATCCTAGGATTGCATTTGCTTTTTTCACACCTGCATCACACTAATGTTTCATAGTCATCCTGTGATTGACCCACACACCCAGGTCTCTCTCTTCCTCTGTCACTTCCTACTGATGAGCCCCCATCTTGTAGCAGAAATTTTCATTATTAGACCCTAAGTGAATGATGGTGCACTTTGTACTATTGAATTTCATTGCATTTCTGTTACTCCAGTCTTCATGATAATCCAGATCTTTTTGTATAATATCATGATCCTCCTCTGTATTGATAATACCGCCCATCTTTGTATCAGCAAATTGCATTAGTACACTAATTTTGTACCAATATCTTAATAAAAATATTCACTCAGATTGGTCCCAAAGCCAATCCTTGAGGAACTACACCTGTATCCTCTCTCCAGTCCTATAGTTCACCTTTCAGCACTACCTGTTGCCTTCTCCCCTTTAGCCTGTTCCTTATCCACGTCACAATTCTTGTACTAATCTCCATCTTTTCTAATGTAACTAATAATTTTCCATGTGTTACTGCATCAAATGCTTTACTAAAGTTCAAGTATATGAGATCTACTGCACCTCCCTTAAATAAATATCAGTTATTTTCTCAAAGAAGGAAAATAGGTTAGTTTGGCATGATCTACCTTTGGTAAACCCATATTGCATTATATCCTGTTTTCCTCTATTCATTTAATTATTCTTTCCTTCCCAATTTCTTCTAAAGCCTTGCATATTATTGAGGTCAGACTAATAGGTCTGTAATTGCCGGACCATTTTTTCCCCTTTTTAAATATAGGTATGACATTAGGTATTCTCCAGTCATATGGTATTATCCCCAAATAGATAGATTTATTAAAAATCCTTGCTATTGGACTAGCAGTCTCATGTGCCCACTCTTTCAGTATTCTGGGATGGAAATTATCCTATCATCCCCAATTTTAACACATTAAGCTCCTTAAGTTTTATTAATCGGGAAACTGTTCCTGACCATGAGTTCTCCATAAGTGTGTGAACTCATTTTTAGTGGAGTTACTGGAAAGCTGCTGAAGCAGTATGACAGCAAAGTCCCTTTCCATACCATAGAAATTGCCCTATTTTCAAATAATTTTTAAAGGGATGTCAAGAGGTCATCAAGTCCAGGCTGATGTACTGAGGCAGGACCAAGTAAATCTAGGCCATCCCTGACAGGTGTTCATCCACCTGTTCTTAAAAACCTCAAGTCATGGGAATTCCACAGCCTCCCTTGGAAGCCTATTCCAGATCTTAACTACCCTTAGGGTACATCTATACTACCCGCTGGATCGGCGGGTAGCGATCTATCTATCGGGGATCAATTTATTGCGTGTAGTGTAGACACGATAAATCAATCCCCGATCACTTTCCTGTTGACTGAACTCCAGCTCAGCGAGAGGCGGAAGCAAAGTCGATGGGGGAGCTGCGGCCATCGATCCCGTGCCGCGAGGACGCGAAATAAGTAATTCTAAGTCGATCTAAGATACGTCGACTTCAGCTACGCTATTCTTGTAGCTGAAGTTGCAGATGTTAGATTGATCCCTCCCCCCACCCCAGTGTAGACCAGGCCTTAGAGTTACAAATGTTTTCCTTATATCCAACCTAAATTTCCCTTGCTGCAGATTAAGCCTGTTACTTCTTATCCTACTTTTAGTGGACATGGAGAACTGATCATCACCCTCTTTATAACAGCCCTTAACCTATTTGAAAACTGTTAACAGGTCCCTCCCTCCCCTTCAGTTATTGTTTCTCAAGACTAAACATGTCTAATTTTTTTTAATCTTTCCTCATAAATCAGGTTTTCTACACTTTTTATAATTTTTGTTGCTCTCCTCTGTACTTCCTCCAATTTGGCCACATCTTTCCTAAAGTGTGGTGCCCAGAATTGGACAAAGAACTCCAGCTGAGGCTTCACCAGTGCTGAGCAGAGCAGGGCAATTACTCCCATGTCTTACATACAACACTCCTGTTAACACACCCAGAATGATATTTGCCTTTTTTGCAAATGCATCACATTGTTGACGTATATTCAATGTGTGATTTACTACAATTATCAGGTCCTTTTCAGCAGTATGACCACCTAGCCAATTATGCCCCATTTTGTAGTTGTGTATTTGATTTTACCTTCCTAAGTGAAGTATTTTGCACTTGTCTTTATTGAATTTAATCGTGCTGATTTCAGACC